TTTCGCTTCGATGGCTTTCAGTCTCACCCTGCTTCATTCTACTACGTTAATAAATCATTAGCTCATCCATGAACATGATTTCTGCCCGAGTCCCGTCGGATTGCATCGGCTGTGGGGATGAAGACCACAACTCCCATGATTCCTCATCTAACTTCACCTTTGTTTCTTTGTTTATTTTGAATGTGCGCCCTCTAGCGGCGAAAATTACATATTGTGCCTTTAATTTACAAAAACAAAATGTGCATATACAATATGGATTTGGTCTAAATTTGTTTTAGATTTTTACTTGCCCTGCTAAAATTTTCTCTGGCTACACCACAAGAGAATAACCTAGCCTATTTTAAATTTTTTAGCAATTTTAGCATTGCTAAAATTCTTTTAATTTTCATGAACTTTCATGAATTTTTCATTAAAATAATTTTCTTTACAAAATCAAAATGTTCAACAAGTTGGAATTAATACACCTATAAAGTAACTATTTCCATGTTCAACTTGAAAAATTATGATTTGAGAATTGATGGGATTGTAAAAAACATGTTCATACCAGAATGCAGCTAGACCTAAAGCCAGTTTGCTAAATCAATGCCTAAATAGGTGTTTGATTATTGGTTAACCTGTTTCTTTGGAATAACCTTCACGATAATACTAAAAATGTTTATTAAGGGAGTAAATCGGTCCATTTTGAATTCTTGTGGACATTATGATGCATGAAGAATCATTTAATGGTAGCATTTGTTGATGCATAATCCCAAAACTTAAGGTGTATTCACACCAGGAAAGTCCGCTAGTTCACTTGCTTTGGTCCGGACCAAATACAATGTAGATTTTTTTTGTTTGGTGCGGTTCGCTTTCACACTGCACTTTTTTGCAAGTGAACCAGAAATTGTAAACAAAACCACAGGTGTGCTAAGGTCATCCATTCATTGGACAGAAATTCTCAAGCAGGGAAAAACAGGAAGTGCAAAAACAGGCTAATCATGGAGATCTTTCGTATTGATCTTTTCATAGATTTGGTGTT